CTTCCTACGGATTCGTGCGGATTCCCGAGGGGGTCCTGGGGATTCGCTAAGGGACTCCTGACGACATCCTCGGGATTCTTGGGGAGTCCTTTTGGGGTTCCAGAGGGCCTCTTGCGGGTCTCCTGAGGATTCTTTTGGAAGTCCTGAGGGGCCCTTAGTGTTTCTGGAGGATTCCCGAAAGGAGTTCCCTTGAGCTTTCCCGAAGGTGCTCCCGAGGGTCAGGGGCTTTTGAGGATCCACTAGGATGTCCTGGGGTTTCCCCATGGGCTTCCTGGGGAGTCGTTAGGGGCTCCTCAGGGTTCCCTGAGGATTCCGTCAGGGATTTCCTAGGGGTTGATGAGGGAGTGCGCGCGCATGTTTTTCATTAACTATTGCGATTTCGAATTTTTTACGAAACCAGATGTTTTCGACAGACTTCGACATGCGAGCGCGGCGGACGCGCGCATGTGGTCTGCATGGTATTGTTTGATCGGGATTCTGCCTTGATGGTGATGGTGCTGCTGCTGCCCCTCCCCCTTCCTCCCTTCCACCATTTATGAAGCTCCCTCTCCCCCTGCTCCTGTCGGGTCTGCTGCCGCCGTCTTTGCCGTCAGGAGTCGGGAGGGTCCCTGAGGGTAGCTGCACACGGGGCCGAAGAAGGGGGTAGCGCACGGGGAGCGTTTTCTGTGGAGGGAAAAGCACAAATTACGGTGCACACGGGGCCAGAGTGTACGTTTGTCCACGGCGGCGCGACACCGCCGCTGATGGCTTCTAGCAGGGCCGGAGAAGTTGTCGTCACACAGCGTCTCAGGACGGGGCCGGAGTGTGCGCCCGTCCACCGGGGGAGTGACACCGGAGGCTCCGGCCCTGCCTGGGGCCGGAGTGTACGCCTTTCCGTCGTCGTTGTTGTTGTTGCAAGAATCCCTTGCAAAAAATAAGGTAAAGTGGACATTCGTGCGCGCAAGACGAAATCCTTCCAAAACCTTAGGTTTCGTAGCGATTTTAAATAAAAAACATCAAAAACCCAATGGTTTTAAAAAAAAAAAATTGTCAAAATGTCCTTCCGCGCGCGCTGTCCGAATCCCACAAAACCAATGGTTTTTCAACATTTATGTTACATGAGCTCGCGCGAGCTACTTGTTCTTGTTCTAACATAATCAAATTTCAATAATCCCTTGCAAAAAATAACGTAAAGTGGACATTCGCGCGCGCAAGACGAAATCCTTCCAGAACCTTAGGTTTCGTAACGATTTCAACATAAAAACATCAAAAACCCAATGGTTTTTCAAAAAAAATGTCCAAATTTCATCCCGCGCGCGCTGTCCGACTCCCACAAAACCAATGGTTTTTCAACATTTATGTTACATAAGCTCGCGCGAGCTACTTTTTCTTGTTCTTACATAATCAAATTTCAACATCCCTTGCAAAAAAAAGTAAAGTGGACATTCGCGCGCGCAAGACCAACAAAAAACACGACGATCTCAGGAACTTGCCCCAAAAATGTGACCAACTCCGCTCTCTCTGTCTCTCTCTCTGTCTGCTCTCTGTCTCTCTCTCTGTCTGTCTGTGTCATGTATTGTATGTCACAATTGCAGGATGCTGGGCACACGCGCGCCCCGAATAAGTGACCAAGTTCTGTGGGTGTGTACCCCACGCCAGTGTAGTAGCCACGGTCGTCCGCACGCCACGAAGTGAAGTGTCCCAACGTCATAGGGCGGGAAGCTGGGTTTGGGTGGTCGCGAAGAGTCGTTTGGATATTTGGTAGAGCTTGAACTGCCCCCCCACGAAGTGGGGGTATTGTCTCGCGTCGCATGAAAACCCAGGCACTGGTGAGAACACTGAGCGTTCGGGTAAAATGATTGTTGTTGTTGTTGTTGTTGTTGTTGTTGTTGTTGTTGTTGTTGTTGTTGTTGTTGCACCGGTGTTTACTGTTATTTCTCAATCAAAGTGTGCCCCTCGACGTTCACACCCTGTTTTTTGACTGGGAAAGTCTTCCTGCTCAAACTCGCCCCCTGGCGCCAGGACCCCCGCTCCCGCCCGAGACTTCCTCGCATCTTATTCTGGAATCGCGCTCTCGCTTGGGACTTCCTTACAATTTATTCAGGAATCGCTCTCCCAGCGCCCTGGAGTCGCACTCTCGCTAGACACTTGCTTGCAACTTACTGAAGAATGGCCTTCCGTTGGAAGTTCCTGCAATTTGCCCAAGCGCCGCGCTCCCGACACCCAGGCACCCAGGAGTCGCGCCCGTTGTGGCCCCATGTGCATGCCCTTCGTGGCCCCGCTGTCGCCATTTGTGCCCCCCTCATTGTCGTACGTGGCCCAGTTGCTACCTTCAGTGGCCCCATAGTTGCCTTCTGTGGCCCCGCATTATGTGCACTTCGTGGCCCCCTGTCGTTCGCGCTTTTCGTGGGCCCATACGCTTTCCCTTCGTGTCCCCGCTGCCGCCCGTCGTGCCCTACTTCGTGTCCTTGTGGCCCTGCTGTCGTTCTCTCTCGCTCTCGCTTTCGCTCGTCGTTGCCGTCATCGTCGTCGCCGTCGTCTTCGACGTCGTCGTCGTCGTCGTCGTCGTCGTCGTCGTCGTCGTCGTGGTTGGTCCCCTGTCCGTCCTTCTTGGGGTCGGGTCGACGGTCCGCGGCCGCCCCGCCGACGCTGCCGCTGGCCAGGCAGACGGTCCGCGGCCGCCCCGCCGCTTGCCGGGGCCCGGCCTGCAGGGAAGAAAGGTATACCCCCCAAAAGGAGTTCGATCGGAGACGAAGAGGGCGGGTATCGAGGGTTTGGGAAATACGCGTTATTGGTCACTGGAGCATATAAGGGCGAACATTCATAAAATGATTGTTCTTCTTGTTGATGTTGTTGTTGTTGTTGTGTTGTTGTTGTTGTTGTTGTTGTTGTTGTTGTTGAATTTGTATTACAGAAGAAGATTATTTATTGTTGATCCCCTCTTCTGGTGACCATAGCGTAATTGCTTCCCCCGGGGCCCGCACCTTGGTTTTATCAGAGAAAGGCACGGGGCTCAAAGTCGGTTTTGTCTCCGGGTTTATAACAACAGCGGCTCCCGCCTGATTCTTCTTCACAATTCATTCCCAGATCGCGCTTTCGCGCGGAACCTCCTCACAATTCATGTACGCACCGCGCTCTCGCGTGGGAGTTCTAGCAATTTATTCAGACGATGCGCCCTCGGCGCTCAGGAATCACGCCGTTGCTTTGGCTTTTCTCATGATTTGCTTGGGAATCGTGCTGTCGCTCGAGACGTCCTCGCGGTTCATGCAGGGCCCACGCTTCAGCAACCCGCCTGCTCGACCTGGCCGCGTGGGTCCGCCTTCCCGATCTGCCCGCTATGGGCTGCCCACCCGATCTGCCTGTCTGGTTCTGCCAGTTGTTTTCTGCTTCTTGCCCCCTTCCTGCTAATTTCTCTCGTGCTTCACTCTTCTCCCCCCCCTTCCACCCGTTCTCTCTTCCCTTGCTTTAGGGGCTGCACTAAATGCACGTGGCAGGTAAGGGGGGTACAAAAGAATACGACGAGGGCTGGTACCGAGGCTTTGGGATATACGTATTGATTGGCACGTGAGCAGATAGGAGCGAACAGTCTTAAACTGATTGTTGTTGTTGTTGTTGTTGTTGTTGTTGTTGTTGTTGTTGTTGTGGTTGTTGTTGTTGTTGTTGTTGTTCAGGCTGCTGCTGCTGCTGCTGCTGATGATGATGATGATGATGATGATGATGATTCCGGTGGTCGTGGTGGTGGTGGTGGATGGTGGTGGCGGTGATGATGCTGATGATGACGATGATCATGAGGATGATGAAGAAGAGGTGGACGATGAGGAGGAGGACCAGGAGGAAAAGAAGAACGATGAGGAAGAGGAGGATGGATGCGGGATCTAGGGACGGGATTAGGGGGGAAGGCGGCGGAGAGAGGAAGGAGGGAGGAATAGTGAGAGTAGGGAGCTCTCTCCTGGCGCGGCGTGGCGTTTATGAGCATCTGCAGAACGCGACAGGGCCTCGTTCCAGCCCGAGCTAATTAGTAGCATGTTGATGGGGGTGGGGGGTGGATGACCATGCTGCTGCTGATGATGATGTGGGGCCATATCGATCCGAGCGATCCGACTCGACATCGATGTCGGCAAGTTCGATCCGACTCGATTCCGATTTCCCAGGGATCCGATGCGGTCCGATGCTTGCTTGGTGCTGCGCATCCTGAGGGGTCGTCCTGGTGCAGCCGATCCGATTCGATTTCGACTCCGTGCCCATGCGGCCTGATCCGTCCACTTTGATCCGATTTCCCGACTCGATTCTGATAGATCTTGTGATGCTGCTGCTGCTGACGATGATGATGCTGATGCTGATGCTGATGATGATGAGGATGCTGCTGCTGCTGCTGATAATGATCCTGATGATCCTGATGACCATCATGACGTTGATGATGTTGATACTGATGATGTTGCTGCTGATGATACTGATGATGCTGATGCTGCTGCTGATGATTCAGATGATGTCACTGAGGATGATGGCGATAACGATGATAACGATATCTGTGCTGGTGGTGATGGTCATTAAAAAGGGTGATGATATTGATGAAGATGGTGACGATGATGACGACGATGCTGATGATGGTGATGGTCATGTTGACGATGAACGATGATCGTAATCATGCTGTTGATGAGGGTGTTGAAGGTGATGTAGACGACGATGACGGCGACTATGATACTGATGCTGGTAATGGTGATGATGACGATGATGGTGATGTGCAAGAAAAGGAGGAGGGGGAGGAGGAAGATGAGGAAGAGGAGGAGGAGGAGGAGGGTCCGTAGGCATTTTGGCTCAAGGCTAAACGTAACGAAGGGTGGGTCACCCGAGGTGTTGCGATTAGCTTTGAACCCATCCGTCGCTGTTCTCGAGCGAGGTAGGTGCCAGCGCGCCTTCCTCTTCAATAGCCCACTCACCTTCACATTCCGTTGCTCTGTCTTGTCCCTTTGGGTGCCAGAGACACCAGTTGGCGAGGGATGCCAGCCTCCAGCAATGTGCAGGTGCCGACGCCCGCCCGTGGCGCAGTCGCCGCGACCGCAGGTTTGTCAGCCTCTCAGCAGCAGCAATTCGCCATGGACGCCGACGCCGCCGCCACCTTCCCCAGCCAGGTGCGGCGTGGCGAGGAGTTTCGGACGCCACCTGCTTCGCCTCGGCATGTGCATGCTGATAAGCGTCGTAAGCATGTTGATTCTGAGTTGCGTCAGGAGTTCCACGGTTTCAAGCAACCCATGGACGAGCGTATGCAGAACGTCTTGGCAAATGTCGGAGCCGTCTCGGAGAGCGTCAATGCAGCCCTTTCAGGACTCAAGGCGTCCATCAACCAGTCGTACGAGGGCTTGCACAGGCAGGTCGAGCGCCGCATCGGCATCGTGGAGCTCGAGCAGCAGGCTACCTCTGATAGATTGGCTGATGTGGAGAAGGAGATGCGCAAGCTACGCCAAAAACTCGGCATCGTCAAGCAGGAGCCGCCAGCGACCAAGCAGTTCACGCCTGGCAGCTCGTTCAATCGCGAGATCAACCAGGGCATCGTCATTGTTAGGTCCAAGCAGCTCGTCACTGCAGCAGCTGTTGCAGATGGAGTTCGATCGTGGCTTGAGGATAGTAACGTCGAGGAGGACGATTGGCTCGTGGAGGGAGGGCCGACCAGCAAGAAGTACACCATTCGTTTCACAGGACCCGCTGGGCTTGCCGCTCGTCGTGTTCAGCAATGTCTCGGGAATCTTCGTACACGCCGTGCCGACGGGGGTCAGGATGCGATGTGGCGCCGCTTCCAGACGACGTCGACCACTTCTGAGACCGTTGGGCTTTTTTGTTGGGCCAGACAAACATGCATGCTCAATTAAGCGTGAGACTTCCTGCAAAGCTGTGCGTCGCGTGCTGGAAGAGCAGTTCCCGCAGCGCCGCTTTTTAATTGATGCATACAAGGGAGAGATTTCGACCAACTGGGGCCCGCTGGTTAAGGTCACGCCTGCCGAATCCGACGATGTGCCTACTGTGGGGTGGGCGGCGGCGAATCTTGTGCAAGAAGGGCTGGGTCAGGCCCAGCTTGCCCCGCTCGTGGAGAGAGCCCCTGGGGGCCCAGCTCCAACAGTGTGGAGCTCCAAGCAGTCTCAGCGTGCTGTGGCACAGTACCTCCTCTCCCCACTCCTCCCCGACCTCGACCTTTCGCATCGTGACATGGAATGCGCGCGGTTTGTTTCACTTCGGGCCGCCAGTCAAAGCGAAAAAGATCAGGTTCTTGCGTGGGCTGCTTGTGCGTGGTAGCACTGTGGCGCTGCAAGAAGTTCATGGCGATGAGCCTGAGCTTAAGGATCTCCTCCACCACCTCCACCTTCCTTTGGAGGCCTCCTTCTCCTTTCATCCTTCTCCGAATGCTGGAGGTGTGGTCACCCTCTGCCTGCGTTTTCTAGCTTCTGCTGAGAGGCGCACGAGGTTTGGGCACGAGCGTCCAGTTGTCACTCCTCTTCCCCTCATCGATGGGCGAGCACTCCTCACTAAGATATGGTTCGATGAATGACGTGTCTTGGGTCTGGCACTACAGCATTCACAATTTTGGCCTCTCGCAGGGGGAACGTCGTCTGCTCTTAACCTCGATTCGGGACTCGCTGACCCTAGCTAAAGAAGATCCGTTGAAACACATGGTCATTATCTCTGGGGATTTCAACCTTCCTGCCTTCGCCCCGCTCCCGCTCAACCCCGTGAATGAGTCTGTTGAACTCGAACCTCGTCCTCTACCTCCTGAATGGCGCTCGGCTTTCCAGCGCCCGGTTGAGTTCGAGCTGTCGACCCCCTCCCATTTTAATGCTCAGGAGAAGTTTCTTTCTTTTATCGATCGGGTGTTCTCCTCGTTGCCTGGCTGGATTCTCTCGCAACGCGCCTCGGGTGGGGGGGTGGTAGACCGGCCTGAACTCTTAGCTGCCGAGCAAATGTCGGACCATGCGGCGGTGGTGGTGGTCCTTCGCCTGCGTGATGAGCCTCCTGCTGGCCAGCGTCCAGTGCCGAAGGAGATCTTTCACGCGCCCGAATACGCTAAGTATTTGAAGATGTCGGCAGAGGCAGCAGACTACTCACACCTATCTACTCCCTTCAAACTTGAGTACTTTAAGATGCTGATGATTGAAAGCGCGCGTCACGCACGCAACGTTGTCATCCTCCGTCGGCCTGACTCGCCCTTGCCCGATATCTGATGATTCGCAGCATGGCTCGCGCCGTCTTTCGCCAGCACTGGCAACTCGCGCTCCGTCTTCACCGTTCTCACCCTCTATGTCGTGAAAACCTCCACCTCGATTTTGATAACAAAAAGGTCCCCCTCATCTCCCCCTCCTCCTGCGCCGCGCTCTCCGACGCCTTGCACAGCGAGGTGGCGCGTGCGACTCGCCAGAGTTTGCAGGCTCACGCTCGGCAGCTCACTGACCAGGCTAAACTGTATCGGATTCAGCGTCGTCAGCGACGCTTGCAGCAGATGTCGAAGCTCTGGTCGCCTTTTGATCGGGGAACCCCGCTCGCTGGCGTTCGCGCGGCCGATCGTACGGTAGTTCAGACTCCTGCCAAGATCCTGGAGGCCCTTGCCTCGCACTGGGGCCCTGTTTTCACGGAAACACCATGTGACTTTGAGGCGAGTGAAAACTTTCTGGACGCGTTTCCCACCCCGCTTGATTGTTCCGGGCTGCCCCCCCCCCCCCCCCTTCCGAACTTTAACCAGTTTTCGGCTTTCATTAAGAAACTCCAACATAGTGCTCCAGGCCCTGACAGGCCTCCTCACGCTGCGTGGCAGCGCGCGCCAGGAGGCATCGACATGCTGTGGGAGTGCATGCAGTGGCTGTTATCAGGCCGCGCTCTTCTGCCTGATTATAATCAGGTGCTGGGGGTCTTTATGCCCAAAGGAGAAGAGGAGGAGGATTCGGCCCTTGGGGTGGTCAGGCACTCGTCGGACACGCGCCCGCTCGGCTTGAAAAATTGTGTTAATAAGATTATCACCGCTATGGCGATTCGGCCCCTTACCCAGGCCCTTCCCCTCGGTTTGGCAGAGTCCCAGCGGGGCTTTGTTCCCTCCCGAAACTTCGGAAATAACATCGTGGAGCTCGATGCCGTCGCCCGTCAGACGAGCATGGAGCCTGGCGTTGAGCGCCGCTGTCCAGCTCTTTGTGAGCTACGATTTCGGCCAGGCGTTCCTTTCGATGTCTCAGAAGTGGATGATCCAAGCGTTAAAACGTACCCAGGTCCCTCCCCCCCTTCTGGCCTTCGTGATGCTGCTTTACGTGCATGTTGCTTGTGTTGGGTGTTTAGGGGGTGACTTTGTGATCCTTTACTACATCGCGAGCGGGATCATCTAAGGCTGCCCTGCGAGCGGCACTTTGTTTGCTGTAGGTGCAGACCCATTTCTGATCAAGTTTCAGGTCACTATTGAGCGCCCGCTTAGAGGCGTTGTTCGAGCTTGCGCTGATGATATTGGCCTCGTCATTTTCAGGATTGCCGATCTCTGGTTCGTCTGGGTCATTTTCGAGGGCGCCGAGAAAATCGCACACCATCGATTGAAACGCAAAAAGTGCAAGCTCGTGTCGCTGCTTGGTGCCTTCACGGAGGCGCTGGAAGCGCTGTGTAGATTGAAGCTGCGTCGATTTGCTCCTGAGTGGCACGACTTCGTGCTAGCGAAGTCCGTACTGTACCTTGGGCTCTGGTTCGGCCCTGCCGTCTCGCCCACGACGTCGTGGGACCCTTCTGCAAGTTTGTTGCTCGAGCTCGTGAGCTGGCTCGTCAAGGATCCGCTCCATCACTTGCGGCGTTTATGTATGATTCTCGAGTTGTCTCTGTTCTTTCTTATGTTTTCCAATCTCAGCCATTGCCACCCCATCTCCAGAAACAAGAGTTCAAGCTACTCACGAGCCTGTTTAACCTTCCGTTCTGCCGCCTTACAGAAGCGGCCTGGTGTAACCTCGTTCGATGGGGGGGCCCGCCCATCAAGAGCTTGAGAATGTTGAGCCACGCGCAGCTTGTTCGAGCCAGCTTATATACCTTCGATAGTTGGAGAAAGATTTTCCAGACACTATATGATGTTGCCGCTGAACACTACTCGGTCGTTCGAGCACTCCGTGGAACCCCGTGGCCTACCTTCTGGGAAGCCCCTGCGGATGCTGCCCGCCTCCGCGAAACTGCTGCTGGCTTTCCTCGCTCTTCCTCTATCCACGGTCCCTTCCGACAAGCCATCGCTGATCTTCGTAGCCATGAAGCCTCGCACCCTCATCTTTACCGAAACGCTCTACATCCTCAGCGATATATATATATATATATATATATATATATATATATATATTAAACCACGTTGCGTTATCCCTTCTTCCTGATCAGCTAGCAGCGCTCTTTCTTCGTCGATTGCGAGAATGGTTTCCGGATAAACACGACACGATCGACACGATAGACTGGGGCCAAGTGAGAGTGCAAACCCTCCTCCTCCCTCCTGCCTGGCGCTCGGCCCTTTTAAAGACCTGGTGCGGTGGTTGGGTGACCCCCTCGGCGTTTCAGGAAGTCTCACAGTGCTATTTTGGATGTCCCAACCCCTGCAATCTCAGGCACCTCTGGAAATGTCCCCACTTTATCCGTCTTCTCACGTGCAGGTCTGCTCGTGCTCTGCCCGTCTGTCCCTTTGCTCGTCTCGGCCTTCTTGCTCCCTCTCGCTGCTCCCTTCTCCCCTCGATTTTCGCTTTCTATCAACATCATGAATGCAGCGAGCACGCGCCCCCGATCGCCCCCGCGAGTCAGCGAGGGATCTGCAGGTGTGTCAAGGCGCAGGTAGCGATGCCTACCACGCGCTGTGGTTGAGGGAGCAGTTCCAGGACTCTTCGGCTACGCTCGAGGAGGAGGAGGAGGAGGAGGAGGAGGAGGAGGAGGAAGAGGA